AAAATTCATTATAAACTGAAGATAAATTATTCAGCTTCACTGTTACAGCTGTGCAAGGTGTTGGTCAGCACCTTGCAGAGAATCCAGGACATGTCCCCATATAGATATCTTTCCTCTAGTTTTTCAAGTAGCAACCACAGCGATAATTCTAGCACTGTACTGTGTAGTTCTACTGGTACTAGTACTTCTAGCTAGTACTAGTAGTTCTAGCACTACTTCTATATTTGTTTATATGCTAGAGACCCAAATCAAGGAAAACCTCTCATAACTGGGGATACTGCCATGAAAGTGTCTGTTTTTCTAACCAGCAACATATCCCATAATAGAGGGTCTCAAATTCACGAAATGAGAGCTGGTCCTTTTGCTTATTGCAAAAGCTTCTGTGTCATGTAGCTTAACAGTATTACTTGACTGTAATATGTAATACTTGAACCACACAAGGTTACTCAGCCTATTCAATGTGACTAGGCCCTTGCTGGATTTCAGTCTTAGTCAGCAACTTCTGCTTGGAGTACTGACAGATGGAAGTGTGTGCAGTGCTGCCGTGTGAGTCTGTCTTTGCAGAAAGGGATTTCTAGTCTGAAAAACCAAGTCATAAGCACATGAATTGTCTTACCAGTCTGAACATCAACTGAGCTGACTGGGATTTCCCCACCAGGCGTTCCCCATTCTCTGTTTCCTCCAGGATGTGGACAAGGAGTAACTAGCCTGGAGAAGGAATAACCAGCTTGAGTGAAAGAGGATTGTCCTCTTTCTCTAATGTGATCATACCACAAAGCTGCTTTTCACCTGATGCTGTAACTTGCAGGCCTCTGTGGTGCATCTGGCCTGCTAGCACGCTTCTGTTGTGTTGAGGGACATGGTTTAGTGGGAGCTATTGGTAATAGGTGAATGGTTGGACTGGATGATCTCTTAGGTCTTTTCCAACCTTGGTGATTCTATGATTCTATGATTCTATGATTCTTGGAGCGAATGCCTCCCTTCACAGCTGCTCTCTTGGAGCAAAAGGCTATCATCCTCACTTCTGCTGGCTGCTACCTGCAGTTTTTCTCTGGAAAACTCTGCTTTATTTTCAAACCTTATTACTTTTACTCCACGGACTTCCACCAGACCTTTTGCTGTCCTTTTGCTGTGCACACCTGTGCTCTTCAGTGCCTCACAAAGGAGCAGCAGAGGGGTGAGCTGCTTTGCCAGGCCAGCGATTTGGCAGTAATTGGAGGAGTGTGGCGTAGGAATGGGGACACTACAGCTGGGTCAGGGAGCCCCAGAACTGCCCCCTCCTGAGGCTGACTCTTTCCTGCATTGCTGAGTTTGTCCTTAATCCATGCAATGAGATCTATTCAGAGTGAGTGTGGACTCAGACTTTTTCCTTCTTCATCAGTGAGAAGAGCTCCCCTCCAAGTTTTTATAAGGACTTCTCTGAGGTGACAGGTTTAAACACACAAGGCAAAAGGTTAGATTTTTTACTGTGGCATTTACTTCTCTGCATAGCGTGTGCTGTGTGTTTACCAGATCCATAGTCAGTATTTTTCATACAGCCAGAGTCATAATTTTTCAGGTTCCTGGTTCGTGTATCTTACAAAAATCCAAATGTAGCATTCCAGGGAGTGTGTACTTTTGTGTTAATATTTGACAGCTGCAGGGAGACAAACTTACCAAGAATTTATTACCAGGGAGAAATAATTATTTTTTCTTGAATACCTATGCAAATAACCATTTATTTTTCTCTTTTCAGACTGTGGTTTGACAATGAGGTGGAGTAAAAGCATGAAAAAGAGAGGTCAGTGAGGAGAGGCAGCTCAGGTCACGCAGCATTAGCCAGCTAGTGCAGTGCCCAGACTTGAGGACAGTGACAGTACGGAGGTCAGAGACCCCTGTGAAAGCTGAGGCAGGAAGACTGACAAGCAGGAAGAGTCTGTTTTCCCACTGCTTAGCTCCCCCAAAAGCTTTTATTAACATCCATTTCTTCATTGCTTTGTCTTTGAGAAACAGACCAAAAGCCACAGAAGGGACTTTATAAGGGAAGACAGCCTGCAAAGGGTCTGCAGGGTTTCTGTTGAAAAACTTCCTCTGCCTCTACGTAATGTTTTCAAGAAAATATTCTGCATCATTCCTTAGAATGATTAGAGGAGTAAGGAGCAACAGCATCAGTGGAGCTGTATCTGTAGGAGCACCATCCTTACTGGTTCCCACTGATTTTTGTCCCTCTTTGTGGACAATTTAGTCCAAACAGAATGGGCAAAAGAAGCTGCTCTGTGATTCTGTGGCAGGGGCAATAGCTGAGTTACCAGTTTTCTTCCACTCAAATGTATGAGCACAACCTCTGTGCTTATAGCTTGGGCTCACCACTCTGCCTGAGTAGGAACCTGCAAAGGAGAGTGGGACATGAGTTTTTATATATACATACTTATATAGATATATATAACGATCTGACAGGGCAGGAGCAGTGCAAAATATCTTGCTTTCAAGAGGACCATGAACTTGACAAGGAGGATGTCATGTTGGCTGACTGGGAAGAGCAGGGAGAATTTCCTTTTCTTTGGATTCCCAAGATTTGGCTTTTATCCATGTATGATTTGTTCTAGAAGCTTGTTTCCTAAAACAGCATTGCTGAAACCATTTCTAGAGGCAGGTTGATAGCATCCTGTTTAGGCTCACAGTTGGGTTTTTCTTTGTGCAGAAGACACACATGCATGTGATAACTTTGATTTCTCTCTGGGGAAAAAAGAATGTGCAGTGTGCAAAGAGGGTGAGAGCTGCTTCTGTGATTGCTGTTATTTCTAGGATTTTGTAGTTCTGAATGTGCCTGAATAAGGACTTCTGCGTTTGGGAAGGAAAAAAAAAATAGGAAGAGTGCAAATATAATTACAGCCAAAAGTTGTTTCTGAGCATAGGTCACTTGCACGTGTCATTCTTCAAGTGTGTGATCTTTTCTCAGGAGGAAGAGACGCAAAGGGGTCATGGGGTTTGCGAGGGGGAGAGAGGAAATGAGAAACACTTTCCCTCTTTCGGAGAAAGGTAAAAGCAGGATATACCATGATCCTGTCAAGTCCTGTTGGCCCCAAGCCTTGTCTCAGCTAGGAATAAACCTGCACCAAATATCCCCACCTTAGTATATACAGGAACAAAACTGCTAAGGAGGAGCTGGGGGAAGAAACAAGGCCAAAACTAGGCAGATTTGGAACATAGCAAAACTTAAGCATTGAAATAGGAAATAAATATGGCTCCACTCATCTTGTGCATCCTATCCTATCTCTTCTGCCAGCGAAGAGCAGCAAGTTGTGTGTCTCCTCCCTTGAGCTGTTCACCCTGCAGCCCTAAAAACTGCAGGTGGCATGAATTGTGCTTTCAGTCCCACCTGTGTCAGAGGACAGGAAAATAGAAATAGGGAAAAAACATTCGGTTCTAAAAAATGGGCAGTCTGATGCTAACAAGCGCATATTTTGGCCCAGCAGAACCTATGGATTTTTACCTGTAGTATTCTCCCCACACACACACTGCCTGTGCAGGGAGGAAAAGAAAACAGCGATGAGGAGCAGCACGGAGGAGAACAAAAGAGTGTCCATGTTCTAGACCAAGCAGGGCCATCAGCACAGGTACCTGGCACCTGGGTGCCATAGTGCCTCCTGAAAACAGAGGCAAGCACAGGTGGAGGACTGCCTGTTCTCCTTTATCGTCTGCGCCTCCACAGCGGGAGCGCAGCTTCGGCAGTCTGGAGGAATAGCTGTACTCGGAAATTCAGGGTGCCGGTATTTCGAGCCGCGGGAGGCTCCGCGCCCACTCTTCCTTCGCCGCTCCCGCGCCTTCGCGGCTCTCCGAGCGGCGCGCGTCGTCGGGGCCGTGGTGCTACGGGCGCCGCTCCCGCGGCGGGGCGGGCTCAGCGGGGGGCGGCCGGCCGCCTCCTCGGGAGGAGGAGGCCGGGAGCCGCGGGCCGACGCGCCGGCTGCCTCCAGCGGGCGGCGGATGCCAGCTCCAGGTTTTCGCGGCGGCAGGGCCGGCGGGCGGGCGAGGGCCGCGGGGCGCGGCGGGGCCGGGGGCGGCGGGGGTC